GTACATGTGGGAAGAGGAAGGCCGTTATCCATACCTCAAGAGCTGCTGTCACCTGGAACACATAGGGAGTGACCTGACGCCCAGCTGGTAAGCCCTGCTTTGTGACTTAAACTTCCCTTCAAGATTTTAAATTTCTACATAAAAAAATAAAGGGATAGTAGGTGAGGGTTTAGTTTTGTTTTTTAAGTTCAAGGACACCTATGAATAAACTTATGTCCAAAAAGAGAATTGTTAGTTCTTGGAGTATGTTCACAGCTCTTGGAGTAGATTCCAAAAGGCTTTCCAAAATGGCTCCCATTTATTTGCCCACAGCAGGATATGGAAGATTTATATCTTCAGTGTCCTGTCTTTACTTGCAAGGTTTATACATTTTTTGAGTTCGTCCGTCATTTGGGTCACTTCCTTAGCAAGCTGATTTAAAAAAAAAATTTTAATGTTTATTCATCTTTGGGAGAGACAGAGTGTGAGTGGGGGTGGGGCAGAGAGAGGGAGACACAGAATCCCAAGCAGGCTCCAGGCTCCAAGCTGTCAGCACAGAACCTGATGCGGGGCTCGAACCCAGGAACCGTGAAATCATGACCTGAATCAAGTCAGACGCTTAACTGACTGAGCCACCTACGTGCCCCTTTAATTTTTTTTTTAATGTTTATTTATATTTGAGAGAGCGAGCAAGCAAGCAAGCATGAACCAGGGGAAGAGCAGAGAGAGAGGGAGACACAGAATCTGAAGCAGGCTCCAGGCTCTGAGCTGTCAGCATAGAGCCTGGCGTGGGGCTCAAACCCACGAACTGTGAGCTCATGACCTGAGCCAAAGTCGGACACTTAACCAACTGAGCCACCCAGGTGCCCCCATTTTGGTTTTCTTTTAAGTTGCTAGCCTTCATCTAAATTATTTTTTTGAGATTTTACATGCTGTACATAAGGCTCTTGTCTTTTATAAACATTGTTGCTTGTCCTTCTAATGTTTATTTTTGGCAATATCTAACAAAATATAATACATATCCTAATAGGATATAGGACCAGGGCCTATATCCTAGGGCCAAGGCCACTAATAGGAATTTACTTTGACAGTACACCTCCAATGATTAAAAATACATTGGTTGGGGCATCTGGGTGGCTCAGTCAGCTGAGTGTTCAACTCTTGCTTTCGGCTCAGGTCACAATCTCGGGGCTTTCTGGGTTCAAGCCCTGAGTCGGACTCTGTGCTGACAGTGCAGAGCCTGCTTGGGATTCTCTCTCTCTCTCTCTCTCTCTCTCTCTCTCTCTCTCTGCACCTTCCCCACTCGTGCTGTTTGTCTCTCTCAAAATAAATGAAGTTTTATTTATTTAATAAAAATGAATGAATAAATACATTGGTTGTTTATTACAATATGAGTTGTGATTGCTTAATGCTGGAAACCATCTAACTGCCTAAACATAAGATGTTGTTTAAATTACTTTGGCATGTCCACATAATGGAGTATTGTGCAGCTGTAATTTAAATCTCTATGTTCAGATATTTCCAGTGTTTTTGAGGCACAAAAAAATTTAAGCGTATATAATATGTAATTATGCTTAGCAGATTAAAAAAAATTTTTTTAACATTTATTTTTGAGAGCGAGAACAAGCTAGGGGAGGGGCAGAGAGAGACAGATTCTGAAACAGGCTCCAGACTCTGAGCCACCAGCACAGAGCCTGATGTGGGACTCGAACCCATGAACCGTAAGATCATGACCTGAGCCGAAGTCAGATGCTTAAGCGACTGAGCCACCCAGGTGCCCCTATGCTTAGCAGGTTTTATTTTTTGCTCTTTATCATATCTAATAAACCTTAGCCTACTAAGTCATAAATGCTTTTCTCCTTCCAATAATGTTTTGTGGCTTAGATTTATTTTAATCAATGATTGTCTATATTTTCAATTTTTTTATCCTTTCAATAATTTTAAATAGATCCCCTTCATATCCAATGATGTCCCATACCATGCAGCATTATGTCTTTTATCCGTCTGATTTTTTTTAACAATACAAAGAAATAGAATCCAGTTGTCCAACACAGTTTTAGTTTTGACGATAGTCTTTTAATCAGAAGCACAAACCAGGGTATGTCCATCATCCCCAAGGTTTTCCCATGCTCCATTGCAGTGTATCCCTCCTTCCATCCCCAGCACCAGGCAGCCACTGATCTGTTTTCTGTCCCTATTAATTACTTTCAATTTTCTAAATTTTTATGTATATGGGATTATATGGTATATATTCCTTTGTGTCTAGCTTTTAAAAAAAAAAAAGTTTATTTATTTTGAGAGAGAGAGAGCTCACATGAATGCGTGAGAGAATGGGGGAGTGTCAGAGAGAGAGGAAGAGAGAGAACACCAAGCAGCCTCCTTGCCGTAAGCACAGAGCCCGATGCGGGGCTCAATCTGCCGAATCATGAGATCATGACCTGAGCCAAAATCAAGAGTCAGACATTTAACCAACTGAGCCACCCAGGAGCCCTGTGTCTCACTTCTTTCAGTGAGCATTGTGGTTTTGAGATTCACCCTTGCTGACTGTATCAGTAATTCACGCCCCTGTACTGCTGAGTTCCTTTTACTATTGTCCCATTGTGTAGATGGACCACAGTTTATCACCTCACTAGTTGAGGGTCACTGATGTTGTTTCTAGCTTAGATAAATATGAAAACATGTTTATCCGAAGAGTGGAAGTGTCAGGTCATATGGAATGCTTCACTTTATAAGAAATTGCAAATGCTTTCCTAGGGGGCTATACATTTTTGCATTCCCACTTGGTATTGTTCCATTTTTGTTTTTTCTTACATTCTAATGGGCATGTAGTGATCTTTCATTACAGTTTTGTTGTCTATTTCCTTAATGATGATGAGCAGCTTTTCATTGGCTTATTTGCCATCCAGATAGCTTCTTTGGTGAAGCATTTGTTCAAACCTTTTGTACATTTTTTTAGTTGGGTTGTTTTAGTTGGGTTGTTATTGAGTTTTGATAGTTTATATATTTGTAACATAAGTTTTTTTTTAAATGTTTATTTTCAACGTTTATTTATTTTTGAGACCCAGAGAGAGACAGAGCATGAGTGGGGGTGGGCAGAGAGAGAGAGGGAGACACAAAATCTGAAGCAGCCTCCAGGCTCCAAGCGGTCAGCACAGAGCCCAATGCAGGCTCAAACTCACGAATGGTGAGATCATGACCTGAGCTGAAGTCAGATGCTTAACCAACTGAGCCACCCAGGTGCCCCTGGAATGTAAGTTTTTTTTATTTATTTTATTTTTTTTTTATCAGATAAGGCTTTGCAAATATCTTCTTCCACTTTGTGGTTAGTCTTTCTACTCTAACACTGTCTTTCAAAGAGCAAGTATTCTTAGTTTTGATGAAGTCCAATTTTTCTTCTAAAAAGATGAGGTTCGAGATGTTGTATCTAAGAAATCTTTGCCCAACCCAGGGTCCCAAAGATTTTCCCCTATGTTTTTGTCAAAATTGTATAGTTTTAGGTTTCACGTTTAGATCTGTTACCCATTTTGGGTTTGTTTTTTTGAGAGAGAGAGCACACAAGCTGGGGAGGGGCAGAGGGAGAGGGGAGAATCTTAAGCAGGCTCCATGCCTAGTGCAGAGCCAATGCAAGGCTTGATCTCATGACTGTGAGAGCATGACCTGAGCCGAAATCAAGAGTCAGATGCTTAACTGACTGAGCTACCCCGGTGCCCCAGTCTGTTATCTATTTTGAATTAAATTTTATATAGGGCAAGATATAGATCAAAGTTTCTTTCTCTTTCTT